ATCCCAGACAGTACCTCAGAATCTTTCTTAACATACAGCTCCAGGTAGCTACAATCATTCTATCAGATCTGACACCTGATAGAATGATACTGACTAGAGAGGCCCAATGCACAAAATTCGTGCAAGAGTAGGCCTTCCTTTCCCTGGCTGCCGGCACCGGCTTCCCTCTGGCACCCAGGACCCAGGCTTCCCTCACAGCCCCGGCTTCATCAGGAAGGTCATCCAGAAGGACGTCCGGAAGGACATCTGGTCTAATTAGCATATTATGCTTTTATTATTATAGTTGGTTGTTGTTTTTTTGCCATCCCTGGCATAATGACAGACATTGTGCCTCTTAATTTCCTCTACCAAGCACTGAAAAGGAGCAGTTGACAGTCATCTTTCCCCAGTGTCTGGCACCATCTCCTCAAAGCCAGCGGGGGCAGAGGGCAATCTGTGACCACACCCCAAGCTTGATGTTTCCTTTTCAGGAAGCCCACTGGCCTTGGAGCCTCCCCACATTGACAACTGGAGTGTGATGGGCCAACCGAGCGAGATCCTAGGTCTCAGTCCTTCCCTCTTCAGCTCCCCAGGAAAACTGCTGCCAGAACAGGTCTTGGAGGATGGCAGCGAGTACCTGACCCAAGGTGAGCATGCAGGGCTGGACCTGGTCCTAGGTCTGTTCAGAAAACACACGGTGATGCCCACCAAGTAAGTGTGCAGCCTTGTGCTGGGCAGTGCTGGATGCCCAGGGATGAATGCTGTCCGGGCCCTGCCTCGAAGAGCCCATAGCCTAGTGGGTGTGTGGGGGAGCCCCAGGCCAGCGTGGAGAGTGGAAGGCTCCAGAAGCCTGCAGTAGGGACCAACTCGCTCTGCCTAGGGTAGAGGTGGCCCAGGGGAGCTGGCCTGGGAGCTAGATTTGAATATGGCGGAGGAGATCCAGAAACCTGGAGAGTGGCACAGAGCCCTGGTGCCGTGAGGGAGCCATTTTCATCCTAGCCAACCTCTGCCTTCCCTCCCGGACAGCTCTCTTTGAAGAAGTTTTCTTAGATCCCGTGTCTTCACCTTCTGCCTGCGTGCTGGAAGTACCGCCGAAGAAGGTAGGCATCGCTCCACCCTTCCATCCACAGGAACGGTCGTCCTGCTTTCCACGAGTCACTCACCGGCTCGATTCACTCATCCATCCCCTCAACGTTTCCAGAGACTCATCTGCTCATCCTTTGAATGCTCACTTTGGCCACAGACACCCACTCTGTGCTGGGCACTTGGAATGAACTAGACAAAAGGGATGAAAGCTAAAAGGTTGTCAGGGCCTGGCTGGTGTGGCTCAATGGTTGACCCTCAGCCCACGAACCAGGAGGTTGCGTTTCAATTCCTGGTCAGGGCACATGCTCAAGTTGCCAGCTGGTCCCCAGTAGGGGGCATGCAGGAGGCAGCCAATCAATGATTCTCTCTCACAATTGATGTTTCTATCTATCGCTCTCCCTAAAATCAATTATTTATATATATATATATATAAACTGCTAGGTGCCCATAAAAGACCCCACATAATATTACAACTGCTCTATGAGACCAGCATCTCTGGGACCCCATTTGACAGAAAATAGATGAGCAACCTCAGGAATCCTCAATTGGAAAGAGCTCCCTCCAAAGCCCCCACACTGACCTCTGTGGCCACTGTCTGCTCCAGGAGTCACTCACCTGCTCGATTCACTCATCCATCCCCTCTATCCATCTGGCAAAGGGGCAGCCCTAGCCCTGGTCCCTAAACCATTCTTCCTCCAATGTGTGTGGGCAGGGCACTGCCTCAATGAGTAGTTGAATGGGCAGCAGTAGGAAAATAGATGCCCTTAGTGGAGCCTTTAGTAAGTGCCTGACTCTGTGCTAGGTGCTTCTCGGCCTTCAAGATGTGTAGTGAGCGCTATTCTGTAGGTGGAATTGATGCTGAGAGAAGTTAAGACTTGCCCAGGACATCATGGCTACCATGTGAAGTGGTAAACTGATGGGATTGAGAGATATTGCCCCCAAAACAGGAGGCAGAAGAACTCAGCCCCATAGAGTCCCTCTCTGACCCCTATGGGAACTTGGGAACATTTGTTTGAATGTCCAATGGGTGTTTGGATGAGGTTGTCTTGAATCTGAGACGTTTCTCATGCTCATTTCCTAGGAGAGCAGTGAGTTGGGGCATGAAGGGACACCAGTGTCTGCTCACATCCCCTCCCAGGACACACCCCCTGAGGCCCCCGAAGACCTTTCTGACTCCCACAGCCCGTGCCTGTCTTCAGTGTCACTGGGCCACCTCTCGCTGAGTGAGGACAGCCAGGCATCGTCCATCCCCAGCTCTGAGGGCATGGACACCGACATGGACACAGAGCTGGTGTGGAGGCAGCAGGTGAGGGGGACAGCCATTGAGGTGGGTCCTGCCTCTCCTGCCAGCTCTCATCTCTCTGCCCCCACCCAGGAGGCTCAGACCAACCCTGAGGACCTGAAGTTCTCGAGCGATGAGGATGGAGACTACACATGGACCCCCACCCGGAGGGAGAAGAGCAGGAGGGGCCAGGCAGACAGGGGCCCCATGACGCTCAAGAACAAGAAAGACTCCTGCCCCACTCAGCCGAAGAAAAAGTGTGTCAATGGCTTCATCATGTTCTGTAGGATGAACCGGAAGCAGTACATCCGGTGGGTGGGGGTCCTCTTTGGCTGCCCGCCTCCCAGAGCATGTTGCCCGCTGCTGGCTGACCCATTGGCCCCGTCCTCAGTCACATGTTCCCCCAGCATCTCACCTGGCCCCACTGCATTGGTCAGGGCCTGCCATTGTAAGCAGAGAAACCCACCTCAGACTTAAGAAAAATAGGACATTAATAGCTTATATAACCTGAAAAAAGACAGGGGTAGATTAGGTTCAGATGTGGGCCCAAGTGCTCACAGGATGCTGTCTGGAGTCCTTGTCCCTCTCGTGGTGGGCTTCAGCCTCAGGCAGGTGGGGCCGGCTGGGCAAGGTCACTCCTGGAAGGTCAGGCTCATGTCCTGGCCCCCATCCTAGCAACCTTGTGGGAGGAGAGCTCCTCATTCCTAAGGTTGCAAGAAAAAGTTCTTGAGTCTGACTTGGTAGATCAGGAGCCCAACCCGGAACCCATCGTTGCCATTCTGAAGCGGGGGGATGGGAGGCCCCCCAAGCCACAGGGGAGAAGAGCTGGTACCCTTATGGGAAGATCCAGGGGCTGATATTGGGAGCAGCGGATACGGGTGGCGTCTTCCCAACAACCATTTAGTCAGCCTCCCCCTTTTGGATGCCTCAGCTCCAGGGTGTGTAATGGGGGTCTTTCGAGATCTCTAACACACGGGGAAAGAGCTGGGTCCTCAAAGGGAAAGCTGAGGCTCTGAGAGGGCAAGGGTCAGGTCAGACCTGGGTCTTTGCCCAAGCAGGCCTCTCCTTACCGCCTCCCTCCTGTCCCAGAGCCTGCCCCGGGACTGCGTCCACAACTGCCACCAAACAGCTGGCCCAGCTCTGGCGGGAGATGACGGAGCAGGAGCGCAGACCATACAGGTGAGCAGCCCAGCGGCCTGCTGGGGCGGAGGGCCTCCACTCCTCAGCCCTGCGCCGGCTGTCAGAGCCTTGAGCTTCATGAGACTGGAAACAGGCTGGGAGTTTCCTGGGGTGGGAGGTTTGGGTGTTGCAAACTTTTATGAAATATTTGGGGGTGACAGAGATAGAAAGGTGCTCTACCTTGGAGCTTAGAAGAGCAAGTACCTTAATTTGGAATTGGCCCCCCGCTGCCCTAAATTTCTTTTGCCCTCTCTGCCGCAGGGCATTTCTCAGAGCAGGAAACTGGGTCTTCCCTTTCACTTGGCCTCCTCCCTCTCTCCCCTCTTCCCTCTCCCCTCCCTTCCGGAAACCCCCTCCTCTTCACCTCGGAGCGGCCACCTGCCTGTTTCTCAGTTGGCCCTCAGTGCGCAGGGATTGTAACAGGAGTGTGGGGCTTCAGCAAAGAGCCCCTGGTGGAGTCCTATTGTACAGGCCGGGCCCAGAGGTTCGCCCGCCCCGTGGGACCAGGTAAAGCCCTGGCCTCCCTTTCAGCTTAGGCCTGGCCACTGCAGGGCCAGAGCACCAGTGGTGAGGCAGGGCCGGAGAGGCCAGTGAGGGACCGCCCATCCCACTGCCTCTCCCCCCAGCATCAAAGCTCGAAGGTTCAGCCGCCAGCACAATCGGATTGTGAAGCAGGAAAGCTCCAGCAGCGAGGACGAGGACTGGGGGATCCCCAAGCCCTTCTACCAGCTGCTGGCGGACAGGGCCCGCTGTTCCTCACAGCCCGCCTCTCAGCTGCCTGCTGGCCACAGATGAGAGGGTAACCACTTCACCTCTCCTCCCTCACCACCTCACAGCTCCACAGCTCGATTGAAACCTGGAGCCAATGAGGAAGAGGTTGCCCCCTCCTGGGCCTCAGCCCTGCTAGGCAGGTCTCCTTGGCCAGTTCCCTCGGGCTGGGAGGGGGTGGATTCGTTGACCCTCTGCTTTGTGTGTTTGCCATGTATGTGGGCAGCTGAACTCTGCCCTTCTCACAGCTCCTTTCTTCCCTGGGGAAGGAAGCTCTGAATGAAATGCAGGGAGAAGTTAAGGAGATGGGGCTCCCCTCTAACCTACCTTTGTCCACCCCAGAATCAAATGGTTTCAACCCTGTTCATTCTCACCTTATCCTACTCCTCCCTCCCCTGTTCTATTTATAGGTTATTTATTGTTGCCAACAAAATAAAGTGGAACCCTTGTTACCAGCAAGGGAGACTAGGCAGGCTGCCTTGGTCCCCTGCTCCCGCAGCCCTGGGGGCGCTCCTTCCACCTGGATCTGGGGGCCCCAGGGTCCCCTGCCTTTTGAGAGAAATCACACTCGCCGCACCACAAACATGGTTTCCACCCCAGCCCCTCAGGGTGCCGGGATCAGAAAGCCAGAATCTCAAATTGGGCTTCGTGTAGTTCAGCTTTTCTTTAGGAAAGTTGTTTGGAAAGTAACCCACACTCCTGGAGGTTTTAGTTATCCTGTTAACTTTATTTTAACTGAAATGTAGGCATAACATGTCCTAGAAAAATAAAGATTTAGGATACAAACTAGACACGGGGGTCAAGGTTGCCCCGCGGGTGAGGGATCTTTGGTCTGGGGCTGGACGTGATAATGAGGGCTGTCGTCCAGGGGAAGCAGAGGGGAATCCTCGCCCAGGTCTCCCCACACCTGCATTGTGTTGCAGCTGGAAGAGCCCAGCCGGGAGGCTGTCAGTCCCTGGGCATAGGACTGCTCCACCCTCAGATTCCAAGCAGTTCTGAGAACTCTGGAGGTCAATGGAGCTATTAATAGTGTTTTAGGGAGTGATAGGGAGAGGGCTCAAGGGGGTTGAATGTCCAGCCATTTTGCAGGGTTTTCAGCTCACCGCTCGTACCAGGTCAAGGGGGGCAGAGCCCCTGAGTCAGGACCCCCCAGATCTCCCCATGTATATGGGGCAGAATAAGGAGAGGGCTGTAACAGAGGAGGCTTCCCATCCAGAGGGACGGTGCCCTTGGACAGGGGTGAGCCCCGCACATCCAGGGCTTGGAGGTTAAGCAGCCGGGGGTAGGGTGTAGTGTATGTGGAATCCTCAGATCAACAACTGTTTCTGAAAGGTTCCCTTCTCCCAGCTGTCCTGGATCTCAAGCACCATTGTCAGGAGAGGCGATGAGGCCTGGCGGGGGTCACAGTTCCAAGGGCTCTTCCACAGGCACTGACTGTAGCTGGGTCAGGACCTTGGTCTCAGCTTCCAGCCCCTCCTCCACCTCGCCCCCTGCTGTGGCCCCCAGGAGCAGCCCCTCAGGGTCAGGGTCTGGGAGCCTCAGCACAGTGTGGGGGGCCTGGGTCCCCAGCCCCTTCTCCGCTTCTAGCAGCCCCTCTGTGCCTGTGCTCAGTTCCAGTCCCGATGGCCAAATGGGCACAGCTGCAGGTGACAGCATGAGGCCCTCAGGTGGGGGCGCAGGGAAGCCAGCCAGGAGGCAGGAGGAGTCTGGGGAGAAGGGCAGGCTGGCAGCAATGGTGGCGGCAGGGGCAGGTGGTGGCTGTGGCAGCTGCTGGGCAGAAAGTGCGCCGAGGGCGTGGGCCTCTGGGAGAGCAGGGCTGGGAGCCACAGGAAGGGCTCCTTCGGGCACGGAGATGGCCGCGTCTGGCTTCAGGGGCAGGGCCAGGCTGGGGGCAGGCGGCAGGACCTGGGAGACCAGCATGCTGGTGGGGAAGGTGGCCGTGAGGATGATCTTGCCCTGCTGCACGGCCACACCTGTCACGATGGGGCTGCCAGACACGGGGTTGGCCAGGAGGAAGTTTCCTGTGGGGAGAGACGTCAGGGCACAGGGTTAGAGGGGGCTGCTGGCCAGGAGCAGAGGTGGCAGTTAAGCTGCTGGAAGGCAAGAGGAAGGAGATTAGCCAGAGGCAAACCGACCCCCCTCAGAGCGGGACTAAGTCTGGGTGGTTTGAGCCTCCACACAACCCGGCACAGGGGGGTTCTGGGACATAGCAGGGATGAGCTACCCCCAACCCAAGCCCACCAACGGCACTCTCCCTCCCTGAGATAACTACCCCCACCCAGGCTGGACGGAGGCAGAAGGGGGTACCTGGGGCAGTGGCCGGAGGCAGCTGCAGGGCAGTCACGCCCACCCCGGAGTTTATCAGGTGCACATTAGTAGGGCCCGCTGTAGCTGCCACCTTCACGGGGCTGCCTGGCCCAGCTGCCAATAGCTGCAGTGGCCCCACAGCTTGTGGCAGAGTCACCACCTGTGAGGTGGGCACCACCTGGGGCAGATTCAATAGTGGGGAGGTGGGGCCCAGGCCTGCAGGGTACCCAGGGGGTGGGGAAAGGGGCACCACTTGTGGAGCAGCCACAGAAGCCACTGGTCCTGGGGGCAGAGGAAAGGCAGCAGCCGGCGGGGGCCCAGGCACCACTTGGGGCAGAGGCACTGGCACCTCCTCTCCAGGTGTTCCCAGAGCAGCCACCTGGGGCTTGGTCTCAGGGGCCTCAGGCTGAGCCTCCTCCAGTCGAACCTCCCCGGTCTGAGGGTCCAGGACCAAGGAGGTCTTGCCCTCGCTGGGCCCCAGGGGACTAGGCTGTGGTGGTGGGGCGCCCCCACCCCCTGTGAGCAGCAGGGGGCCCAGGCTGGAGGCTTCACCCAGGGCCAGGCTGTTGATGATGACAGGGCTCCCATTGAGAAGCACCGCTGGTGAGCTGCTGGCAGCCAGGAAACTCCCGTTCACCAGGATGGAGGAAGAGGCAGGGCATGGCGCAGGAGGGGCGGCCCCCGCCAGGAATATGGAGCCCTGGGCAGGGGCCTCCGTGGCCACTGGAGCCACCCCCCTCTCCAGGTCCTCAGGACTGCGGCTGGACTCATCCTCAGTAGTGGGGTTCCCATCAGACTCGCTGTTCAGAGAAAGGATTGTGAGTTGTGGCCCTGAATGCTGTGTCCCCACTGGCCAGCCAGCTTCCCGCACAGAGCTGCAGGAGCCTCCCGCTCTTTCCCCAGCCCAAACTTTTGGGGACAATGCGGGGATGCGGGCGGGGAAGTATGAAGCCTCCTCTCTGAGACCACCTAAGGGCCACGCGGGCAGAGCCTCTGCAAGCCCTGCGTGGACAACACTGCATAAAAGCTGAAGCTGTCCCAAGCCGGAGTGAGGAGGCCGGGGCATCCAGGCTGCCCGGTCTCGGGGTCGGGCTGAAAGCAGCCTGGAGGCGGCGGAGAGCCGGGAGGTGGCGGCCAGCTCAGTTCTCGGTGCCCTCCCAGGGCGTCAGAGAGGGCGGGAGAGGCTGGCGTGCTGGGTGGGAGGGGAAGGGCTTGGGTTACAGGGAAACCGGAGCTGGGGAAGGTTCACGTTTCACAACAAAGACAGACGACGGACCACGCCGTTTGGGCCCCGAGGGGGGGGGCGGGGGCGGGGAAGGGTGTGTGAGAAAGCGCCGGGGTCGGGGAAGGACCGGGCAGCGCAGCGGCCAGAAAGAAGCCCCGACGCCGGGTGCGGGAACAAAGGCCCCTCCCTCTTTCCCCGTGGCCCCCTTTTCTCCCTGTCTCCCCAGTCTAGCCACCCACACGGATGGGGATCTAGGATGGGGTCCTGAGTGGAGCGGAGGAAAGAGGTCGCCCAGTCTCCGCGAGAGAAGCAGCGATGTTGGGGAGAGGGCCGGGACGTGTGCCCGTGGCATCCTCACTATTCCTCACGCCTGGCGGGCGCCGGAGGGTGTGAGCGGGAGGCATCTGCGGACTTGGCGCGGACTCCGGCAGCGGGTTCGGGAGAGGGGGCTGGTGGGTGGCAAGTT